TGTATTTGGGATTTTTAAAAGGCAGGTGTTACAAAATTATATACAAAAGCTGGATATTCACCATTTAGCCACTCAGCAGCAACTTTATGGAGAACCAGGACAGAAAAAATGAGTTTTCTTCCTTGATTGTTCAGATTAGTATGTAAACTGAAGAGGGCCAGAGCTTAGCTCTGATGAATGCTATTTAAACATATAGGAGAAATCCTATGGGTTGATCTGCATAAGAATTTTGCTAATTGGATACTATTTATGACAAAAGATGTGTGGTAAATATGGCAGAGGTGATATGAGTTTTTGATAATGAAGATCAGGGCCTTTCTGAGGGAATAAGGAAGGGCACACTGTTAAACAGCTTGCATACATTCTCACCTTTTTTCCTTTTTTCTACCCTGACACCCACTTTCCAGGGTACATCAGCATTAAGTGACACTGTAATCATAAATTGAAAATGATACTTCCAGAGGAATTGGCAAACTTGACATTTCATTATATTTGTTAACACATGCCACCAATGATTGTTAGTGAGGAAATTCCATTTCCCTCTCTCCATCTCCAATCAGATTTAATTTGAAAATTTTCAGCCTCCTCCGGCTAATTTGCAATTAAGACAATTTTGTTTGAATATGTAGTAATGTCATTACCATTCCACCAAATTAGCAAGGAGACTAAAGGTCAGCGTAAAATTTTCCAGCTGGCTGGAGCCTCTCAGCTGAGATTTGGGACCATGGGGAAAAAAAAAATTCTGGCAGCAACAGAATAGCAAATTCCTCTTAAGTTCTATTGGTTCAAACCTCCGCGTTCTTCCTTGTTGCTGCTTTTGTTGCTTCACTGGGGGTGGTGGTGGTGATAGAACTGTTTAACAACAGGGGCAGTCAGTCAATAATCAGCAACAGGCTTTTATTTAAGGAAATACACTTCGACTAAAGTCTGGTAGGAGAAGAAGGAGTTAGGTAGTCCTGAGTAACACTGCAGTAGATTATTAGATAACCTCTAACAGCATTCTCTAATTAGAGTTCTTATGATACAATTTCATCCTGTAATTAGTTGAGATTGGTGCTTCCTTTTGCGGCTTATTAGTGGCAACACAGCTGTAGAAGTGAATCCACTCTCATTTGTCAAACCTTTTTAAGTCTTTTTCTCTTGTCTCTACCTTTTTCCTGCCCTTCTTCGGGCCTCTGCAGCTTAATCTGGTGTCTAGTGTCACCATGTCGAAGAACATGTTGGAGACATCCCCACAGAGCTTACCTCAAACCCCTACCACACCAACGGCCCCAGTCACCCCGATTCCCCAGGGACCCTCAGTAATCACCCCAGCCAGTGTGCCCAATGTGGGAGCCATACGAAGGCGACATTCAGACAAATACAACATCCCCATGTCATCAGGTAGGATATGAATACTCAGTGGAGATCTTTGACTTTGGGAGAGGAAAACTGTAGATGAAATGGTCACGAGCCATTCCAGAACACATGGAAACTCAAGTCATGATTTATGGAGTGATAATTGTTTTATTCCTGGTAAATGCGGGACGGAGGCGATTCCCTAAGCACATCATGATGAATTGTTCTGAATGATTGTTCAGGAAGGAACTCTCCCCATTAGAGAAATTGAGAGATGTGTTGTCAGGATAGCCCATATTATCACCTCAATTCAATGAGATTCTTTGATCTCTGAGGGAAGCCGAGAACCATCCAACATCTGCAGGTAATGCTCTATGATAAGAGCCATTTAAAAGAACATGTACGGCGAGCACCATCACAGTTGAGCATCTGCACAGATGTATCAGTCTTTATCAAGCACTGCCTTGATGCAGTTGGACCAGGGCTCCTGATGCTGGCCTACTTATTTGCTTAAGAGCATCATGAGTGGAAATGTCACGTGTTGTTAAAAAGTCATCTTCTCTCATCTCTTCCCCTTTTGCCCCCTCTCCCATCGAAGCAGGCCACCTTGGGGCATCTGGATAATAACAGTCACACCCAAGAACTAGATCCCGGAGCACTCTTTCTACAAAAAGTGAATTTATTTTCAACATGGGGGTTGGGAGGGGCTAGGTCCTCCATTGTTAGATGGCCACAGATGCAGATGTCAAGAGTTGATCCTGTTCTACATTAAGAAGTATTAGAGGAGAACAGTAAAGGTTATGGGAAGGGGCAAAAGTCCATGAAAGAACATGCCTGAACCACCCGCTTAAAAGAGGACCTGGCTGGTAGGGGGATCAAAATCCTCAGGCCAGCTGGTCACACTACTCCTGAAGTACTGTGAACATCTAGGGGACGCCTCATTTGCACTTCTCATCAGAAATGGCCTCTTTTATATAATTCAATTCCACTGTCATGCTCTGTGTTCTCCCGGCCAGTGGTTCCTCACCAAATCACTTTACCAATCCTAAGGAAAAGTATGAAAAATTGATTCTGTTTCCCTTTGTTATTAGCAGAATTAACAGATCTTCTCTCTAATTATTTATTTTTATAGAGATTGCCCCAAACTACGAATTTTATAAAA